AAAAATATATATATATATATATATATATATATATATATATATATATATATATATATATATATATATATATATATATATATATATATATATATAGCGCTGACATGCCCGCAAAGAGCGTTCAGCAGAACATTTAAACTGTTGCACTATATCAGGGTACAAACCCATGCAGCGGAATAGCGGAGCGCGGAATGAGAGCGGAACCAATCATGAGCGAAAGCAATCACGAGCGAAAACTGTGGAACGCTCATGATTGGTTCCACTCTCGTTCCGCGCTCCGCTATTCCGCTGCATGGGTTTGCATCCTCATTAAACCGTTTACAAAGCGCTGAATTCTGTTGAACGCAGCTACACAGATATACAGATGAAATTTGGTGAAAAAAAAATTAAAGAGAACTAATGCAGCCTGTTCAGTAATAGAAAACAGACTCCTTTTTAGTTGAGCTGCCTAAACTAGTACCATAAGTTAGAGTGAAAAAAAATATTTTGTTTCATTCTAACTTATTGCACCAGTGTATGTACACCAGTTTAGACAGTTCAGCTACAAAGAACAAATCTCATGAATGACCAGTCCCTGAATAATGGCGTCTCCTCGGCCGAAGTCACCTCGTACTCCGATTTCTACGAAAAAGGAGGATAAAGAAGAGAGCTTTTGGGATAAAATTGGAACGCTAGGACGAAAGAAACGCATTAAAGAAGGTTCATTCTATTTTCATACATTTTAATAACTTGAAACTTGTACGAACAAATAATTTGATTAAATAATTCAATGAAGGTTATGTCCTTATTTGGTATGAGACGTCAAGTATGATGTCATGCTTTGGGTAAATATGAAGATTTTGGTCTGTTTTGAAAATAAAGAATTTTTGAGTTTATAATTTATTCAATTGATTATTTTCTTACTAATATAATTTAATTCATACTTATTGACTGATATTCTGAACTCCTTTTTATATTAAAAAAAGTGCTTCTAGAAGTAACTTATAAATTTTCTGATTAGTTATGAGCCATTTTTAAAGGTACTTCATCAATAAAAGAGTTCAAAATATAACCATTGTATCCAATGAATTATTCAATTATTCAAATATTTCAAATTATAAATATTTAAAATTATTCAGTTATTCAATTATTTTAATTATTTAAAAAATAAATGATATTTAAAAAATATATAACAGATATTATATTTTCAGTACAAGATGTACAAGAAGAAGGGAAATATGCAATCGATTCACCTGGGTATGCAGCTAATCCTGACATGCCACCAGAAGAATATGCTCTTGATGAAAACGAGGAACGTTCCATGATAGAGCCAAAATCTTTGGAAGATCCCAAACTGCAAGAGCTGATATCTATATTAATCGAATGGATTAACGATGAATTGGCTGATCAGCGAATCATTGTGAAAGACATTGTGGAAGATCTTTATGATGGACAAGTGCTGCAGAAACTTTTAGGTATACTTACCATACTTCTGTATAATCCCAGACAGAAAAGTTATCATCCTTTTCCTTGTAACTTTAGAAATATATCTATTTTGTTCAATGAATGAGAATTTGTTTTCCATTGGAAAAATTGTCCCATTGGACAAGATGGACATATTCACAACAAAAAGAGCAATAACTTTCCTACCCACAATTGTACACAAGTATGTGCAATTTGGAACACAATTCTACCCTAAGATAGGTTTTTTTCAATGGGATGAATCTTACTTGCAAAAACTTGATTCTAGAAAAGCTGACTGGAGAGAAACTGGACGTACCTGAAGTAACTCAGTCAGAAGAAGGACAGAAACAAAAACTCGCCGTCGTCTTGTCCGCCGCTAATCGAGTGCTGGGCCGTTACCCGCCTTACAGGTGGAGCGTCGAATCTGTACATACAAAAAACATCGTTGCGATTTTGCACCTTTTAGTTGGTCTAGCCCGGCTCTTCCGCGCTCCCGTTAGATTGCCGGAGAGAGTTGCCGTTCAAGTGGTCGTCGTGCGTAAGAAGGAAGGTCAGCTGATACACAGGACAGTAAGAGAAGAGCTAACGACAACGTACGATGATTTGGGTATGCGCTGCGAACGTGATGCATTTGACACTCTTTTCGATCACGCGCCCGATAAGCTGGCTGTCGTAAAGAAAGTAAGTTCATTATAAGGATAAAACATTTGTCGCGCGCCTCTTACCTTTGTTTCTTATAAACATTTATGAATAGAAAAAGAAAATATATTCTTAATTTACAATAAATTTTTTAAATGTTATCATAGCTAATTCTTTTCCAAAAATTATGTGACTGTATTAGTCTGTTCATTATATAGTATGAGCATGGTTGGTTTATTTTCAGACATTTTTTTAAGTAAAAAAAAATGAAAAATGGCTTGAAAAATGTTAAAAATTAGCTATGATAACATCTAAAGAATTTACTGCAAATTAAGAATATATTTTCCTTTATCAATTCAGAAATTTTTACAAGAAGTTATCAGGTTAGATTAGGCTATGAAAAAAAGAGAGCTTTCACGGGGACAGTTGCTGTTCCGCCATTATTTAGTTCTTCGATCTCTAATTTACAACATTTTTAATAATGTATAATATAAATTCATTAAATTTCATATTAAAATATTAAAAATAAAAAAATTACATCATTTTGAATTTAAGCTCTCCACGCGTGAGCCAAAGATTTTACCCGCTTAAACGATTTCGATGAAAATTTGCAGTGTTCGTCTTCTTTTCACTAACTGCCTGTTACTGTTCTTTCAGTCCTTGGTGACATTTGTAAATAAGCATTTAAGCAAAGTACATTTGGAGGTGACTGACCTGGACACTCAATTTCACGACGGTGTTTTCTTGACTTTACTGCTTGGTCTTTTGGAAGGTTTCTTTGTGCCACTGGGTAGTTTTCACTTGACACCAAAGACCATTGACCAAAAGGTGCATAATGTTTCGTTCGCGTTTGATATTATGCGAGACATAGGGCTTCCGAAACCCAAAGCCCGTCCTGAAGGTTTGTAGTTTTTAAACCGCAAAGTACCTTTATTTTGAGAAGATTCTTTTCACTTGTAAATTAAATTTTTCTTGCAGATATCGTAAATTTGGATCTCAAGTCCACGCTTCGTGTGTTATACAATCTCTTTACGAAATATAAGGGGATAAATTAACAAAATTAATGTACTCGGCAAGCCGCTTTTATTATGCGAATGCGCGTTTTCACGCTTTGATAAAATTAATAAGTTAATTATGCTAACACGCGAATATACGACATACGAATCTATTATTGTATACTGCCATTAAAAGATTGTTTATATGAAGTGTTTAGTTCATATAAACAGCGGGAAATGAAAAGCCAAATAAGACAACTATACACATAATGAGCTTTATGTAATGTGCCTTTTTACTTATATAATGTATAATATACACATATATATAGTATTTTATTAATATTTATTTACATCATAACATAGCTATATTAAAATTTTGTATAAATCTGGGTATTTGTATTAATAAATGTTTTAGCTGTTACATATTCTTTTGTGTATATGGAATCATTCTACTTGCAGAATAAAAATTGTCGTATAACAATTAGTCTTTATATATAGTTGTAAAATTTGCTAGACAAGTGTGCGAAACAAGTGAGAAACAAAATATATATTATTAAAATATTAAATAATATATATTATATAATAGCAGTCTGTGAGAGAAATAGAAGAGGAAATAAAAAAGAAATAATTACTAGAATAATTTATTAGTGTCTGATAATATCAGTTATCGTAGTGTCGTAATATCAGTATCATTACTCCTTACTCTTTTGAAATTGTGTCAACACGATCGTACTACCTGCCACCGTCGCTCCAAGGTGATCGATCGGGGCTCGTACGTGACAGCTGTCTGTTCTCTTTCCTTTGGTCTGTAACGAAAATGAATTCCGGATCGTGCACGAGACGCGATACGTCGATAAGAGATAGTAATTCATTGAATACCCTCTAGTATTACGAGTAAATATAAAAGGAGATATAGCGGACGCATGTAAATGCGGATCGATACTCGTGTATTTCTTCTTTTTAGTTCTTCATATATTCGGTTGGTCTATCGATTGTAATAATGTTGATTGCTTGAATCACTTGTGATCTCTGCGGCTGATGATAAAATACAAATAGAAACGAACAAATAAAAACAAAAGAATAAAATATAATAATAAAGAAAAGTACAAGAAGGAAATTCCAAGGAATGCAATCAAGTTATTTTCAACGATGATATACGTAGATTTAATGTACAAATAATTTGTATGTATATGTGTTATCTCTTTTCCTTTTAATATATATATATATATATATATATATATATATATATATAAATTAAAAAGAAAAAAGAGATAACATATACATAATATATTATATATTATATATATAATATTATGGATATACAATTTATGTATGTATATTACATATATATATATATATATATATATATATATATATATATATATATATATAATTTAAATGGTATGCGTACATATTTGACACTCTCGCGGAATTCTGCAAATTTTCGATTATATTTATAAAAAAATGCGCGTGTATAATCACTTCCTCATTTCACTTCAAATATATTTAAGTATCTTACTGTAATTTTTGTTTACTTATCACCTGCTTCGGTGCCGGCCGTGAAGTTACTGGAAAAGCGGACGGAGGACAGATTCTCACTAGCTCATAAGCGCGGTTGAGTCGTTTCGTCCTGATAAAGGAGTCCAGGATGCAATTTCGTAGGATACGCTTCTGAGACACGCGATGTCGCACGACATGGCCTCCGACGACGTGTCTTCAGTCTCTTTCTATCTCTCCGCCCGGCGATTGCGGATTGCCACAAGAAACGCGTCGCGAACGAGTTCGCTGGCGCGCAATTAAGTCACCTGCGCTCTCGCGTGTCGCGTGTTTTTAAACGCTAATGTCCTAACTCTTTTGATTCTTCTTAGTTAGACACAACGTCGCTGTGCTACCTCTCCCACAAGTATTCTCATAATTATGCGTTTCTTGTAATCCGCGTTTCGGCGAAATTGCCGTTTCTCATCGCGCTACATTTTTCAACGCGCGATGGCGACTAGCGATTTGTCGAACGAGTCGACAAGATTGGAAGGGACTCTCGAGGATGTCTTTGAAATTGACGTCAATATTGATGGTCGTAAATCCAGTCTGTTCACTCTCTACGCAAAAATATTTCGGTTGCTTCTTGCAACGCAACTGCCGACTCTCAGTCTTCTCAACGACGAGGGACGTAACAAGGAACTCGAAGACTTAATATTACCAAGCAATGAGGAGTGGCGTCACCGAGTCTATCACAGTCTTGTTGAGTTACAAAGAGAGAAGGACGCGGAAACGGAAGAAAAAAGGTAAGCTGTGAGACGAACACGTCGTTATTTTCCGCAATGTATTATAATTTACGAAAAGTTAGTTTATACATTCACGTATTACATCAATTGTACACTGGAAGAAAAAATCGGGGTAAAACGAGCCAAATCTCTCAATTGAGCAAATTTGACTACATTAATTGCGATCGAATCGAATAAATATTAAGTCTGCTCAACAATTTGATGTAGGATAATCGACTAAAAAATTTAGTAAAAAATAAAAGGTAAATAGAAACTGAAATGTAATATAATGTAATATTATACGGAGATTATAATGTTTTTTCAATTAACGAAAAGATTAAGAGGATCGTAGCAGTCATTAACATATAGAAAAAGTATCATGTTTGTACAGCCAGCAATGTTGTGCTTAGATAGTTTTAAAATCATTTAGATGGAGATGAGGTGAAAGTCCGTAAATCCATAAATCTATTCTAGGTGAGATGATTTTGTTTTTAAAACATTTAGATGAAAGATGAAATGGTAATGCGATTTATCTAAATTATTTTTTAGATTTTTTCAAAACAAATATGTAAAAAATTACACAAATGTTAAAAAGAATATATAAATAGTACTCATACTTTCATTTATAAGTTTTTGCTTTTCAAATGCAGTCATATTTTTGGTGTATAAATTATTTATTTTCTTAGAAAAAGATCTTAAATGACAAAATGTTACTAGCTAAAAACTCTTGGTAACAAATTCTCTACTGTATCTTAGCTGCGTTCGGGGAGACATTATTTGGCGCTATGAACATGTTCTATTCTTGTTATTTACCGAAAGTTGAACAAGGATAGAACACACTTTTAGCGCCAAACAGCGTCTTCCCGAACGCAGCTCCTATGAAAAACATATTTTAAATAAGATAAGTTTTTAGATAAGATAATACATTTTTTCATCTAAGATGAAGATAAAGATGCAATAATTATCTGCGCTTTGGACGCTCACACGCCTGTAAGCGCTCACGCTTATAGACGCTTATAAGAGCGCTCTTTGATTTGATATTTGAGAGCTTACACAGCACTAAGGAATACTGTTCACTTTGGCTGCGTTCGGAGAGACGCTATTTAGCGCTATGAACGCGCTATGGCTGTCCGAAGAGACACTTTTTGTCGCTATAAAACCGATAATGACGTCACTCTAAAAGTAGTGTGACGTCATCACTCACGCTATCATTTTCGAGGTGAGGCGCCGAACGTTCATAGCGCTCATAGCGTTCTTAGTTCGCGAACAATTATGAATCTATCTTAAACAGACCTTATGTTTTCGTCCCGTTGAATTGTGAAAGTATACATGTATTATATGCATTTCCGCTTATATTATATGCTATCCGCCACGTGCATAACATGTTCCACTTCATCATCATCACTTTCTGACGACGAGAAGTCAACGAGTTCCCGCAAAATTTCAAAAATACCATTCTTAATTATAGCTTGTTGCAACGTAGATCAATATTTTCTTCATTCATATTAAACTTGCTATCGCAGTTGAGCATTAAGGCCTTTGTACGTCAAAAAATCTTAACCGTAATCGTAATTCCGTAAATTTCCAACACATACAATCAGGGGCCTTATTCTCGAAAAATATTGTATACGATATTTTTCGAGAATAAGGCCCCTGATTTTATGTGATTATCTATGAAAAGCTGTAGTTTATGTTATTATATTATAGCTTTTATATCATAGAAATATCATATGCGATATTTTTCGAGAATAAGGCTCCAGATAAAGCAATGCAAGTAAAAATTCATATACAGACTTAGGGTGTAGTCCCATCCCATATAGCACAGTAATGTTGAATCAACGTTGAAAGAATGTTGAATTGCAACAATGTCAATATTGCAGCAACATTGAGAAACATTGAAACAATGTTGCACAAACCTTGATATAATGTAAAAATGTCCGCGATTGTTGATTTTTGCTTGACATTTCAAAGGCTTATTTACTCTTATTGTTTCATAAAATAAAACTAATTCCTAATTTTCTCATATCTTATAATTGCTAGAAACTGAAGATTGTCAAATACACTCTAAAACTTTCGCGAATCCTCTCTCGATAATTTCGAATCCGAAGCAATATGCCGGTCACCCACCCATCCTGATTGCGTTGCTTAATCTGACGATCAAGCGGCACGCGGTGATTCCAATGACTCCAACAATGTTCTTACAATTTATGTTTATAAAATGTATACAGTGTTCACAGTATATTATAACGTACTTAGAAAATACACGCGTTGATTCGCCTATCTATTTTATTTAATATCTTTAAAGTTTATTTGCAAAATGACTTCGATCATTCCTTCCAGTTGGATGTTTTTTATGCATTTTTTGTTATCGATACAGCTTGCGTCAGACTCTATATAATACAGAATATTATGAAATAAAAGAATATTCAGGGTTTGCGCAAAATTGCTTAAACACATTTCAATTTTACATATAGATAATAAGAAAAATATATATGATTATGGTGTATTGTAATATAAGATAGAGTAACGCAAGTGAAAGTTCGTAATCGTAAAGCTGAAGTCCCATGGCATATATTTTCCGCGTATCGCGTAAGCGCGTAACCAATAGATCTCGACGTTTAGTATTTCTGTTGGAATTTCTAAAAGAATAGAAAGATGTGATTGGTTACGCGGTTACGCCTTACGCGAAAATACGTGTCATCCCATACAGTATAGAACGTTGAAAAAACGTTAATGAGACGTTGCAACATTGAAGATAGAAGTACGGATGTTTTTTCTACATAGAATACATGTTGATTTTTCTACATTGATTACAAGATATTGCTGCAATGTTGAATATATATTAGACAAAAAGTACAATATAAAGTATAATATGTATAATATATATATATATATATATATATATATATATATATATATATATATATATATA